ACTTGGTCTGTTTAATGAAAATACTGCCTTCTCTGTTAACATACTGTGGCAGTTGCTTTAATTCATCGCATAAATTAGCACCAATTTCTGCTTTCATATATTCAGCATAGTCTGCTTTTCATTTTAAGACACAAAACATCTCCTACATGGACATGCTCTGTAGCATTACGGTGAACTGGTCTTTCGAGTGACTTTCATCTGGGGGAAAGATATAGCCTCTATATGATTCCGATTCCAGAAACATAACCCAGAGTCACATATGAAAGAAGATTATTGTCTTAATCGGAGTAAGCAGAAGGCTTTTGGAAGGTATGGAAAGTTTTATTTTCGTCAGGTGTTCATCTAACAATTGCTGGAGGTTTCAGTCAAGTGATAAGCACAGCGTGCAGTTAAAAGAAATGTTGTGATCTGTATTGCTAACCGCTCATCATCTATTGAAATCCCACAGCCACAAAATTAACTCCTCATTTTAGCAACGGAACTAGCGGGGATCCAGAAAAGGTAGAGCTTCAGTGTATCAACGTCATGAATTCTACAGAAGTCACTCTATTCGCTTAATACTGAAGCTTGAATACCGGGGGTTATACATTTCTCAAAGAGATATAACATAAATTTTATTTCTGCTTTTGTCGCCCCCATTTCATTTTGGTTTAATCATACGTGGTGTGATGGAATTGTCTATAAGTGAATTTAGCGACTTGCTGGGGAGACCTCCCCAGCTTACAGCTTGTTAATGGCATTATGCTCCTTGGCTGTGAGACACGGAAGATATGAAAATAATACCTAAGTTTGATCACAAGTATCCGCGTTGTCAAATGTCCAGGTCTAACTAAGCCGGACTTCACGCTGTCCTTAGAAGACTTTCAGTAACTATGCTCAATAACCAACGCAAAAAACCAGAACACAGATTGGTGACTCAAAAATCCTTTATTCTTGCACCAATATAGAACCAACCATCGGGTTATTGTACACAGTTTCTGATAGATTTTTTCCGTATTCCGACGAACAGCAAACAATGGAACGATCACTGCAGTATCGATGATTCCCGCCTAAATTTAGAGTTGGGTTTGAGCAAACAACTATGAATTGATCGTTCAGTCTTCAACTACATTGACATGCGTTCTATCTCCAGTGCCAAATGGCGTATTATGTTGAGTAAGGTAGAAATTAGACGTAGTGTTTTATTATGAGGGTAAGTTAGTCGCTGAGGTATTGGAGCTAGAATAGTTGCGGCGGGTGCAGTATTTAACGTGCATACCAAGCCATTGCCGAGCATTATCGGTTGATATGTGATCGTGTTGAAGGAGGGTTACGCTTGGCCAGACCCAAACCTGCCACTTGTTCACGAAACCGTCGACACTGAATTTCGACAATGTCTCAGATACATTCACTCTCTGACCCCCCCCCAGATACCTTCATCCCTCACGTTTTTCCCTGTCACTACTCTTTATCCTTCACGTTTCTGATTATCACAGTCTTGCTTAATTTATTTTTCCTCTTTTTGTTGCTTTTCTGTGCTACATCGAATGAGGAAACTTGAAAGGGCGCACTTCTGTGCGAAGTTCTGAGTTAAGTTCAGTTATAACGACACTTAGTCTATGTTTGACAAAATGCAAAGCATCGAAAAATTTGCAAATTGTCGACAAAGGGTAACTGTACTTTATCTGGTCCTTGGCTAGTCAAAAATACTGCCTTTCAGTATTACACATATTTTTAACGGACGAGATGCCTCTGTTGAGTCGTGGGTGTAGTCGAGATGCCCTTCTCTTTGGGTTCCTTAACCGGACTCTCATAGGACACATTAATTAGCAGTAGGAAACCCAGCCAAAGGCATCTGTCACATTGCCGAAGTATTTGTCAACTAAGAGCAGCAATTAAGATATTACTAAAGGCGCGGTTCACATGTGATCTGAAGAATTCATTTTTGATTGAGCACCTTATGCCAGTAAGGTATTCTTTGTGCTGTAAAATTTCTGCAGGTACAGACAGAATTTATGAATTCAGCACTCGTGAAATAGAATTGCGCCGCTAAACGATTTAGCCAAAACGCTGGTGAAATGCGGAACCGTACACGGACACATCCATGGAGATAATAATGATATATTCTCATTTCGTACATGGGGGACAACACTTTACAGGCATCATCAATATTATAAATTACATATACGATTAGTAAGCATATTTATTAATAATGATTTATTAAAATATAATAAAATAAAATGCATATTCCAACCTGTGCAGGACACACCCATTGTACAGGCATGGATAAGAATTATTTAAATTACATAAATTTGGTATATTGTTAAATTCCATGGTTGCTGTCATTTTTGTCTATGGTTTGTGAGAACAATATGATAACTAGTCATTCAATGGAGCACATCAATATATCTAGAAATTCTGCCTTCGCATTAACAAAAACCCCGAGTATGTTATGGATGGGTTACAAATACTTGTGGAAAAAATAAAGCTTAAAGTAATTCCTCCATATGACTTTGGTGTGTACGGTATCGAATCTTATTCCTGATTTATATCCAAGTTCGGTAATAATTTAAAATAAGTGATACACTTGTATGGTTTGGTCAGCATTTTCATGATAGCATCACAAGTGAATTGTAATCCATGCAGACTAATAATAAGGATAGTTTATATTTTCATATGAACGAGTGTTTTCAAGAAATAAAAGCTGTTAATCACGTCTAAAAACCGTTAATGCCCAGCTCTTGCTATGCTGGGCCTCTCGCTGTCCCTTGAAGCCTTTCAGAAACGCTTAGTACTAACGGACGCGAAAACCAGAACACCGATTGGCGACCCGGGAATTCTTTATTCTAACACCAACATATAAGCAGTATTATAAACTAAGGTCGGTGAACAAATGTTACAACAATAAATCACGATATTACATCTGACGGTTTTTCTAGGTTCTTTTTGAATAGCGAATGATGAGACGATGACTGGTGTATTGATGCCTCCGCGAAAATATAGGGAAGTTCGGTTTTAGCAAACAGCCATGAATTGATCGTTCAGTCTTCAACTACATTGACAACAGGTATTTTTACAGATACGATCAGTTATGTTAAAAGTTACTATCGTGAAGTATTATAAATCTATACTTTCTAATGGTATAAATCTATATTCCACAACTGTAATCCAGGTTGCGTCGTGGGGGAAGGTGAGGGCGTAATTCACGAAGGAATTGTAAGATATGGGACCAATAATGTTTGCAGATCATTTGTCATTGTAAATGGTCAAATATCCACATTACTCAGTCTCATTCAAAAAGTCAAATGGAAGCTAAAATGGTCAGACAAAAAGAAGACAAACAATAGCAACGCAAAAGAAAGCTAGAGGAGTCCTTAAGGAGTGATTAACAAATATATACATATATATTCTGTTTAGTAACTACGGTTATTTTGATACACTAACTAGTCCCGTTATGCTAACTTTTGTATTGTGTGAACCAATATTACTGCCCTGCGTAGAAATGTTTATCATCTAGTTCCAAGAATATTAAAATTTATAATTGTAGTTTGTTGTAACTGCACGTTTATTGAACTTAAAATATGTATGTGGGGTGAAAAAGAAGGTGTAAGAGTCAAATGTAGAAGTGCATTATCATCTTTGAGCAGTCTGATGACCGAAGAGATAAACGCTGGAAGTGTGTTTGCATCACGCACATCAGCTGGTAGTCTATGCCAAATGACTGAAAACTTATTTAAGAAGAAGTTGTACCGCACGTAAGTCTGACAGTGCTCTATAGCAGCAAGGTTGTGATGATTTCTAAGATTGTAACTGATGACAGCGGTAGGTTTAGTTATTGGCTCGGAGGAGTGCAAGAGAAGATTAGTTAGCTTGCAGTAAAAGATAAGGTTTAGCTTAAGGCATCTGTCAATGGAGTTGAAGATTGAATGATCAATTCATGGTTGTTTGCTTAAAATCAACTTCCCCAATTTTCGCGGAGGCATCAATACGACAGTCATCGTCTCATCGGTCGCTGTTCAGAAAGAAGTCAACAGTAAACCATCAGAAGTAATATTGTGATTTATTATTGTAATATTTGTTCACAGACCTTAGTGGAACATTTTTTATATGTTGGTGTTACAATAAAGAATTCTCAAATGGCCAATCGGTGCTTTGGTATTTTCGTCCGTTATAACTAAGCGTTTCTGAAAACTTCAAGGAACAGCGTGAGCCCGAGCGTAGCAAGAGCTGGGCATTAACGGTTTATGAGACGTGGCTGACAGTTTCTGACGGTAGAAACAGATTCTGGCGGATTCAGACAGTTGGAGACAGTTTGGATAGTCACCGTTCACCTTTCCTGGTGCCGGTCAAGTCCTCTATGAACAAGCAATATCTGGAACGTTTTTGGAATTGGGTCAAGTTCAACAATGCCTGGGTCAAAGAAGGGACAGAGTGTCTTGGATGCAAACAGGAAAGTAAGTCATGGTGACTTGTCTGTTAATTGTAACGATGTGTCTGATGTTAAGCATGACATGGTTGATGTTACTGTTTCGCCGTTCAGGGATAATAGGAACATCAAACTCCCTAAATTTGAACCACGATGTTTCGATGGAAACTCGGCTGATTATTTACAATTTGTAAAGGAGTTTGAGATCATGCTGACTAGTTTTTCATTAAGTGATGAATCGACATTGATTTATTTAATGAGGTATTGCACTGGAGATGCTTCAAGAGCTATACAGTGCTGTAAGCTCATGCCCCCTAATGAGGGATACGCTGAGGCTATGAGCATATTACGTCAAAGGTGTGGAAGACCTTCAGTGATTGTAAGGAACGTATTCGAAGCTGTCAAAGGTAACGACAGTCAACTTCAAGATGACTCCAAGGCACCCAGTGATTTTTTAGATAATCTTATGACTTACAAGAATACCTTGATTTCGATGAATTGCATGAGTGACCTCAACTCGAGTTTTACACTAGAAGTAATAGCAAGATGCCTACCTACTCGACTGCAAGGGAAGTGGGTGAAGGTAAGCTCCCGTATGGAGGATGAGGGTATCGAGCCAAAGTTTGATGATATCCTGAAACTAGTAAAAGATAGTGTCAATCAATCTATGAGCAAGTTCGCCAGTCTGTTAGATCTCACCCATAGAATAGAGCAGTCTGAGGGTAAAACGCACTCATTGATGACGAATAAGCCTCAGAGAGGTGGATATCGAGAAGGCTCCATGATGTATAGTAATGCATATAGACCTAGTGAGTGTAACAGGTTTCGTAGTACATCCTCAACAGATAAGTTACAAGATGCAAGACAAATACGGTTGTGTTTTACACGTGTGCAAGAGGTGCATACAGAAGTGAACTGTGAACCGGTGAGCAAGTTCAGTGATAAGCTAAATGTAAACTACAGGTCTGACTCCGAATTGTGTGACGATAACGGTGCGGTGAAGAAGTCTGTAGTTGCAACTGGTAAGCCGTTGTTGAATAGAGTGTCACAGAGGAGAGTTACAGTCTCAGAGGACAGTTCTGACTCCACAAGTTTACAAAGTATTACTAGTCAGAGTGAAGATATAGAACCTTTAAGGATTTGTGAGGAGGAACCAAAATTGTCTACTTCTGTTATTAAAGAGTTTGAAAATGATGAACTTAACGGTAAATTGAATATTTGTGATAATGATCATGATAGTGCAGATTTGTCTTTGGTTGATCATGATGAAATGGGGGGAATGCCTATTACCGCTAAGTTAAATAAAGGTTCTGTACAACTTGAACGTGAAGTAGAATTAAATGCAGTTGCAGAAGGCATGCATACTTGTCACACAGTCAGTGTAATTGATCAGAGTGAAGCCCACCTGTCATCAGATGCTAGTCCTAAAGCGGAGCTGATAGTAAAAGACAGCAGTGGTGGTGGTCTTGCAGGTAGACAAATTTCTGAAAGTCGAGCAACAACAGCTTTTGATCCACTGCTAACTTCATCAACTGATATCAATCAGTCGTCGTTGGTGCTGTATTCCACAATGAAACAGACACCCATGAACTCAAGTATCTTGTGCAATGACTATGGTAGTATCAGTTCGTTTGAAAGGACGAATATCAATGGTCAGTTTAGTGAGGATAAGCCAAGTGTAAACGAGAGAGTAATTGTTAAATTGACTTGCACGAATAAAGGCATTTCTAGTTTCAAGTTACTAATTGAATGCTATTATCTTTCGTGTAAATTACTCTGTTTCTACACTTGGTTGATGAGATATGTCGTGTGTTTGTTCGTCATCTATATTCTACGATACAATGACATGGGCGTGTTGCCGTTCAGATTTGAGGATATAGACGATAGAAGGAAGTTAGCAAATGAACTCTGCGACGATTTTCCAACCTAGAGTGTCAACCTGAGAAGTGTTGTAGGCGTACTGCTGTAAGTCCTACAATTTTTCAAAGGGTAGCGCATCAATGAGCAGTCCAATATGCTTGGTGTGTGATTTTGTACATAAGTTCATATTGTATATACTGAATTGATATCATCTGTCATCTAGCTGTTGGTAATTCTGTTTGTGTCCGGACGACTTCCACTTGGATCATCAACCTGAGAAGGAATGTAGGCGTACTGCTGTAAGTCCTACGGTTCTTCAAGGATAGTTTGCCGTGCCAGAATACACAACATTTGATGTGTTGATTGTACATATGTTTGTGTTAAATAATTGTGTGAGTTCCAATTGATGTAATTGTTGGTTAATCTTGTTTGTGTCCGTACATTCCACAAATTACAATCGTCAACTTGAGATGGGTTGTAGGCGTACTGGTGTAAGTCCTGCAATCCTTCCAAGGAATTCCATCAAGACATGAACCGCGAGTTTGTTTGTACTGTTTGTATATATATGTGGTTAGTCATATCAATTGGTGTATTTTGGATTCATTGTGTTTACTTGTTGTTTTCGTACCTTGTTGTTATTGCGTAATTTTGTTAAAATTTTCGTCGTGATTACTTCTGAAGTTGTTTCGAGTCTTCTACATCCATGAATGAATTGATTGATGTTAAGGACAGCAGATGGGTCGTATACGCCGGGGAGGCTAGGCTATTGCTGAGAATGAAATGCATACGGAGATAATTGTTAGCTGCGGAAAATACAGATCCAACTTTGGTCATTTGTACCCTGTTGCTTAGAAACGATTTTCACCAGTTCATTAATGGGTTGCGAATTCCACATGAGTACAGATTCTCAAAGAGAAAACTGTGAAATGACATGGCAAGTGCCCCAGATATATCGAAGTAGAGGACAGCTACTAGCATACATTATTCGCGACTACCAGTGATGCAGTTGAAAAGGCGAAATGGCAAGTGACGCCAGATCTATTTTTGAGAAATTTGTGTTGAGACCTTGTACCAAGATCTTCCTAAGGTAGGTAGTCTCACAATTAAACATTTACAACTTTCTCCATGATTTGTGAGATAACTCCTGTCAGCCAACACTCATTAACTGTCAATGTCCAGCTCCTACTACGCTGGACCTCAAGCTGTCCCCGGAAAACTTTCAGAAACACTCTGTAATAACCAACGCGAAAACCGGAACACAGATTGGCGACTCAATAATCCTTTATTCTTACGCCAACATGTAACCAAAAATGAGGTTATTATAAAAAAGGTCTGAGAATAAATGTTGTAACAATAAGTCATGATAATACTTCTGATAGTTTTTCATCTTCCACTGAACAGCGAACGATGAGACGACGACTGATGGATTGATGACCCGCGAAGAATATGGAGTAGTTAGGTTGGAGCAAACAACCACGAATTGATCGTTCAATCTTCAACCACATTGACACTCCTCGGCAAAATACGCATCAATCCTTTCGTTCCATCACGACCAATACACGTTGACTTGGATGTCAGTGTGAGAACCTGGGTCACACGGACAGAGCTGAAATGGAAAACAAACACAAAAGCCAACACACCACAGGCATACTCACGGCACAATCATACTCGCCGGCGACCACCTACGTCTTCCAGTTAAAGGCATCCTCTTGACACATCCTCTTGCAACACAATCGCCACTTGCTGGAATGACTCTTACAGAACGCAACGTGACCATAGCACCACCTCATGATACTCCACACACGTCCTCGTATCTACTCACTACCAATTACCACTGAGATCGCTTGTCACTCATTCTGCCTCAGTTCTAGTAACGGTGATATATGCAAGCCTCAGCCGTCTACACTCCCGCTCCCCGGAGTGTGGGATCACAGCTAATCCTTATCTCTGTGTGTATGTCATTCTCAGCAAAAGCCTGGCCTCCCCGGCGTATACGACCCATCTGCTATCTTTAACATCAATCAATTGATTCACAGATGTGGAGGACTAGAAACAACTTCAGAGGTAATCGAGACGAAAATTTTAACAAAATTATGCAATAAAAACAAGGTGCGAAAACAACGAGAAAGCACAGTATATCCAAAACACCAATTGATATGACTAACCACATGTATATACAAACAGTACACATAACTTCGCAGATCATGTCCTGATGGAATTCCTCTGAAGAATCGCCGGACTCACACCAGTGCGCCTGCAACCCTTCTCAGGTTGACGACTGTAAGTTTAAGAATGTCGAGACACAAACGAGATTAACCAACAATTACGTTATTCAAGTGTTGGTTTACGTTAATTGGAACCCACTCAATTGACTAACACAAACATATGTACAATGAATACATCGATTGTTTTGGATTCTGCCATGACGAAATACCCTTGAAGAATTGTAGGATTTACAGTAGTACGCCTACATTCCCTCTCGGTTTGATGATACGAGTGGAGGACGTCCGGACACAAAGTTACCAACAGACAGATGAAAGATGATACCAATTCAGTATATACAAAATGAACATATGTACAAAACAACGCACCAATTACGATGGACTCCGCTTCGATGCACTACCCTTTGAAGAATTGTAGGACTTACAGCAGCACGCCTACAACCCTTCTCAGGTTGACGCCCTAGGTTGAAAAATCGTTGCAGAGTTCATTCGCCGTCCTCCTTCTATCATCGCCCATGTTATTGTATCGTATAATATAGATGACTAACAAACATACGACGTATCTGACCAACCAAGCGTAGGCACAGAGTGATTTCCAACAAAGCTAATAGCATTCAAATAGTAACTTAGATCTTGAAAATCCTACGTGGATGGAAATTACAGCGTTTGTGAATAATTCGCATCAAGATAAATTGTGATTTTCCGCAGGACAACCTCAAAAGCTAGTGTGTGAATGAACGGCTGGCAAAGAGCAATCCAACACGGCCAGCTTACTTCGACGAAATCGACCTTCAAGTGCCTTATCTATCCGGTCACCTTGATTGTGCGAAATATTTTTAACCTAGAAAACTCTGTATGAGGTTAGCCAACATTTGACTGCCGAAAATGGTTTTCGGATCTGCTGACTGCCTACCACTGAGAGCCAAGAACAGTTGCTCAAGTTGACATTTTTTTACAGACCTGTGTCAAATGAAGGAAGTTACTAGTGTAAAGCCATCTCTGAATGTAATTTCAGGTGTATAAAATAATGTGGACTAAGAACCGAAATAACTTTCACTGATAGAAACCGAGGCCTAATAAAATATGTGACTGAATGAATGAGTCTTTCTCCCTCATCGATCTAATTTCAGACCATCGAAAACTAATCAACTGACAAGCATTTTTCTGAGGGCGCGCTCCTTGAATAAGACGTGCTTTTCCTCCCTAACCGGAAATATCCAATTTTGTGAATTATTCGTTTGGGAAACCTGATCTTCCTACCCGGCGAATTTTATTCAACCATTTCTTCCTCACCGAGCCTGTGTGTGGTACTTCCCGCTGTCTCGAACTACTGCCAAAGCTTCAGGTGCTACTTCTGTAGCAACACCCTCCTCACTCTTTCAAATATACAGGACTTGTGGGTCTGTTACGTGATTGCTGTGAAACCGAATAACCCGAAAGTTACAGGTAAAGTCAAAAGCTTTTACTTACATACTTTATCCTTCTTTTCTGTGCTCTCTATTGTCTTTTGCTGTAAGTCTATTGGACAAAATAACAGTCTCTTATTATTTAATCACCAGTATTAATTTAGGAGTAAAATGACAATAGATTCTCAACCTAAAATAAGTAATGGGACATCATACTCTGTAGTTACCAGGGCTTCAGCCAAACTAGGCAAACAGGAGAAGGTGATGGACTCACGCATACCGGTCTTGAAGACCAGGGCTAATATTCCCAGCTCGTACAGATTACCCATGTCGCCACAGTCCTACAGTGAAGCTGTGCAAAGTCAGCCAAGTGGATGTGGCTCCACCCCTGTTAACACGACTAGGTTAACAGATCCGAGTGGGAAAATTGCACTAAGTGAGAACTTCATAACACCCATCCCCATGGTAGACCATGAAACAAATAGGAAGGCCAAAAAGAAACGTTCACGACGTCGCAAGACGACAAGAACGCTCCCCAAGAAGACAGACGACTGCAAGGTCTGCGCTTCTGTTGTCGAACAAGCAGACTCTGCTTTCGAATGTAACTTTTGCAAGCGATGGGTGCATTGCAGATGCGACAGTGGGGTACCAAAAGCATATTATGACTTTATGCGTAAAAACCCATGCCAATGGTTCTGGTACATATGCCCGAGTTGCCGTCCTGATGTAGCCTCGCGTAGTCCTTTGAAAACTAAAGATGGCACAGAAGTAGCGGGGAAAAAGGTGAAAAGCTCGACCCCCACCAATCCGGAAGTTAGTACAAACGCGCGTAAACCGGGGATACCAAAATCCTCACCGGTTAAACTTGTAACTCTTGCCATAACCGCTCCAGACACAGAGGCTGGAGAACCACGGGTTTCCGTCGTTGGAAAAAGACCCCAACCGTCTGCCAGTAATGCTGGCCATAGCACTGAGACACATAAAAATACCCAGTCGCACCAGTCAAACCAAAACGGTCTTAAAGGTGATCACAAATGTGCGAGGACCGAGCCCAAGCCCACGGTTAGCAGATCAAATTGTGTAATCCTCTTTAATGTACCAGACTGTAGTAGTAGTCTGCTGAAAGATAGGGCCCTATTTGATCAGGAACAGTGGTCCATCTTGTGTAGCACACTGGGTTTGGACATCCAACCAGTAAATCTATGCAGATTGTATAGGGGCACTGCTGCACCTGAAGGCAAACCATCCCCACTGAGGGTAACATTGGGCTCTACCGAGGATGTTGAAAAAGTGTTACTGGCTTCTCAAGTCCTTTCTATAGGGAGGGCCTGTAACATACGTGTTAAGCCAGACAGGCCGTGGAAGGAAAGACAAATGGCGAGGGAGTCGCCAGAGCTCATTCCTTCTGCCTCCATGGTTGTGCATGGCATTCCCGAACTGGTAACTGGGAACGCCTGCGAAAAGCATTGTCATGATGTACAACAATGGAGATGGTTAGCATCCCAGATGGCCCTGGGAAGTTCAGGGGCTGTCTCTATTTATAGACTGCCTCGACCCACTCATCTTATGTCAATTAACTCGCCACGTCTGTTAGCTGTCAAGTTCAGCTCCCAAGACCAGTTGACTACCGCTCTCCATAGATGGTACGAGACCAAGGACAAGGTCAGCAAACACATTCGCTGCTGCGAGAGCCGGCCTCGCACTCAAAGGAGAGAACAAAGCGTAGTAAAAAAAATCCTCAACCCCTAGTCACACTACAGCGGTGCAGCACGGACGATGATAGCCAGTGTCATCCGAGTGCTCCAACTGAACTAGAAGAAAAAAACGCCAACAGGCCGGTTCCTGGGGAATCGGCCAACTAGTTCGTAGGATAACTCCTCAACCGATAGCCAATATCAAGTCAACTACCCCCCAATACGGGGAAGTGGTGAGACTGACTACCAGTTGCCTGTATAGTAATGTGAGAGGGCTAAGAGGCAAAATAGCTGAACTTAGACACCTACAATCACAACTGAACTCCAAAATCATAATACTGACGGAAACCTGGCTAACCCCTACGGTGGCAGACAGCGAAGTCAGTATAAATGATATGGTCCTAGTCAGGCGAGATAGGGACCTGAAAGAAGGAGGTGGAGTCGCCATATACGTCGACAAACAGCTCAGATGTGTTCACGCGATGGACCCTCCCCTCACAGAGCTCCCTGACTCCATATGGTGCCACTTCACCGTTGGGTACTGCAAATATCTAGTGGGCAGCATTTATCGATCACCTTCATGTGGAGCAGACCACAACCAGGTACTGCTAAATACAATCTCAGCGACTCAAGACATGGGTTATGATCAAATTGTCATAGCTGGTGACTTCAATGCCCCATCTCTTAACTTGGTGTCGGGAAAAGCCCATGATAGATTTGATCGAAATCTGCTGCATACCATCAGGAAGGCTGGATTCACTGAAAATGTCAAGATGGATACTAGATGGGGCCCTGATGGGAAGTCTTCTAGACTGGATTACGTGCTCACTAGTGACCAGCTACTAGTGGAAAACGTTCAGATCACGACTCCCATAGGTAGTAGTGACCACGCGGTCATAGTATTCGACATAGTCCTCCGCGAGCGCTTACAGTGGGACAATACACAGCCCTATCTGTGTTATAACAAAGCCAACTACACCAAAATGCGAAGACTTCTGTCTGAAGCAAATTGGCCTAAAAAATGGACAGAGCTAACAGTAGAAGAACACTGGAGAGTGGTAAAGGAGATCATTCACCAGGCGGTCTCAGACACTGTTCCTTTAGTCACACCAAAAGCTAGGAAGCAACGATCATGGCTGAAAAGGGGACACAACGCCTTCTGCAGGCAAAGCGAAAAGCCTGGTTCGCGTGGCGACGATCGAAGAGTCAACCCGAATATGAAGTGTACCTTGAACTCAGGAATCGATGTAACATACGAGTCCGGAGCGATAGAAGGACATTTCAGGGAGACCTCGCCAATAAGCTTCTCGTGAACCCCAAAAGCCTATACAGGTTTATGTCCGAAAGAAAACCGACCAACCAGGGAGCATGCAATCTAGTGGGTTCTGATGGGAAATCTCTTACTAGTCTTGAAATGGCAGAGACATTCAGCCTAGCCTTTCACAGGCAACTAAATAGTAACGAGGATATTACCCCTACAGAACATCCAGATTACATCGCAAAACCAACACGCGAAAACCTGCTGGGTACATTTCAAATTACCCCGGCTATGGTACTTGCAAAATTGGGAAGGTTGGCTTCGGGAAAGTCTCAGGTTGTGATGGCATCAGACCATCTGTCCTGAAGCAGTGTTCAGAAAGTCTCTGCCAACCCCTAAGTGATCTGTTCCAACACTCCCTTGATGTAGGGAAACTTCCATGTGAATGGAAACGTGCAATCCTATCCCCTATCTTCAAGGGTGGTGACCGGCAGAATGTGACCAGTTACAGACCAGTTGCTCTACTTCCAGTGATATCGAAGATATTGGAAAGTCTCATTGACGACCACATGAGAAAATACTTCGATGGGACTAACCTTCTTCACGAAGCACAGCACGGTTTCAGGAGGGGAAGATCCTGCGTGACGAATCTTCTACTAGCTTGGAACGATTGGACACTATCCTGGGACAAAAAGGTACCAGCCCACGTGATCTTTCTCGACTTTGCGAAAGCATTCGACACAGTTCACCATGGTCTGCTCCTTCACAAAATAGCAAGGCGGGGTTTCTGGAGCACTTCTCGCATGGCTGACAGATTACTTAGGCGAGAGAGAATTCTGCACCAAAGTCAACCGCATCCGATCATCCTGGCACACCTCGGCATCAGGGGTTCCTCAGGGTTCTATCCTAGGGCCGTTGATGTTTTTGATTTTTATCAACGACCTGCCCCCCAACTAAACTGCTCTGCGCTTCTTTACGCTGACGACGTAAAGATTTGGAGAGCAATAAACTCATCGGAAGACTCAGATAGATTGCAGGCTGACCTGCAAACTCTGGGAAACTGGGCTTGGCTAACGGAATGCCTTTCAACCTAAAGAAGTGCAAAGTAGTGCAACTTCATTCCGGCAGGTCACAGAGTGTAAATTACACCCTTGGTGGCCAGAACTTGAGTTGTGTTCCATCAGAGCGTGATCTAGGTCTTATTCTAACAGAAAAGCTAGACACCAGTGGAAATTACTCGAGGGACGTCGCCAAAGCCTACGCAACATTACACTTTATGCATAGGCAGCTGGGAGCTCTCACTCCCGAACTGTTCTTAAGGTTATATAAGGCATATGTGAGGCCACACCTTGAGGTGCATAATATCATTGCACCTCCGCTACTCAAAAGGGATGCTAACATTCTAGAAAGTGTCCAGAGACGAGCGACAAAATGGGTGATCGGCCTCCGCAACAAATCATATGAGGAAAGACTAAAGAAATTAGGTCTTTTCACACTTAGTTACCGTAGGCACAGGGGAGACCTCATCACCGTCTACAAGATCCTAAATGACCAGGCCCACCCAAATAAAAGCATCCTGCCATTAAGTGATTATAGGCTTCCACGAGGTAACCCGCTAAGGATAGCACACCAGAGACCAAAGACTCGAGTGCGATCACATTTCTTTTCGCTTCGTGTTTGCCGTCTCTGGAACGCTTTACCGGCGGCCGTGACTACAGCGCCATCTCTGGAGATTTTTAAGCGGAAGCTAGACAATCATGCAGAAATGCAAGGTTTGTGTCTCAATGGCTTATCCTCATAAAATTTGAAACCAAACTGTCAATGAATAAGCGTACAAACTAAATCCCCACGACCTATTCTGCCTTCTCTCACTCTATCTTTTCCTTAGGTCACCTTTATTATTCCACTTATCTCAACCTATATTATCTACACTACAACCTATTATTATTATTATTATTACTATTCTGCTTTTATGACTACACCGAATGACCAAGGGGAGTTAGGTCAAACTCCATTCACGGCAGCAATACAGTCCTAACATACTGCATACTACAAACCACATCTCGACCAATCCCCGCACCACTCCTCCTGGAGTCTACCAGAGCTAAAGCAGTCGAGTGTTGGGACTTACTACGCAGAAGCTCACCGAAGATCTGGAACCTCTACCTCACAATCAAGAAGCGAGCTCAAAGAAATCACTGGTTTATACTAGCTCGTAATCAGGATATTGGATATTGGACAAGCTGAAACGTTCCCCGCTAGATTAGAAGTGAATCGTTTCGGCGTTGGATTTATGTGTGTGGTTCATGTCATCAAAATATTCCACTGGAAGAAAAGATGGGCGAATCGGATCTTGGTTGAGGCGCATTATAAATGGTATAGAGCTCACTTTTAAATTCTGGTTTTCTTACTTCTAAGGTTGTATTCTTTATTAAATATGAAATTCAGAAATTAACCTAATCATTGTTGAAAGTCATCATAATAGGACTGTTTCAGTGATTTCCAAGCTGTATCCGTAGCTAAATAAGTTGTTCGCAAAAAATTCAACAAAACTTGTGGCGTGAAAACCGTTATGAGGGTTGTTTCACTGTAGGCTTTGAGTTCAATATGATTGTATTAATATACATGCCTCCGAATGTTTATTTACTTTCTAGTTATATGCAGAGTAAATATATGCTGCAGTTACTTTCGCGAGATCTTATTAATGTGCAGAGGTAGTCGTCAGATCAAGGACAGCATGTATGATTGATGACCGAATTCGGTTATCTGTAATCTACTTAAGTAGATCTGAGACTAGGTGGGCAATATGGCTTCCTAAGCTGTGAAAAAATGGCGACCCCGATTCATTATGTGCGTTGCTTTTGTGATATTATGGAATTGGCGTAGTGAAGGATTTTAATGTTTGCGATGATACATTGTTGATGTAGTATCAACTAATAAAGTGGCTAGTGGAACAATCACCGAACAGGTTTAGAAGGCTTGCTTACTAACTTATCCCTGCAACTGGTGTCATATCCACTTAACCAGTAGATGTGTGTGCTGTTCAGCTCATCCCTACTTCACAAATGTGAAATGGTTGGTGAAATTAGAGAACATGAATATGTTTCAGGTCTTTAGCAGCAGTTGCCACCATTCAGTTAAAAGATGCAACATAGGTATTATTGAAATGACGTAATGTAAGGGGAAGGTAATTCAACAATTGGCGTTGTAAATCTATAATGCTTGACGTGTTCAAGTTGTGCTGCACTCACCAAACTCATTTTTACGCAACAAGCGATGTTAGCTGAAGTAGGATTAGTTAAGAGATGGTTATATAGCAAAAATGTGCCAATCTGCGAGGCCGTAGACTTCGGTGCTTTTTAAATCACCAGGTGCAGATTGTGTGGCTGGAATCTTCGGAGTGCTAAGAGTTAATGGTGAAAAACTTTTAATTGTGACTCGAACTCATCCGCATTGGCTGGGATGTTTTTGAAATTTTTGACGTCACTACCTTTCGTTGAGTTATTCTTCTCCTTACTTCTAAGTTTATTTTCGTAGCACTACACTTTTATTCTTTTTCCGTCAATCTGAAGTGTGGGAACTTAAACTAACGCGTTTATTCGCATGTTGACTTCTGTGACAGCCATTTCACATAGAGACTAAAATTCAATTCTCTTTGCTCTTCGCCCATCAACTTTTAGGCGTGCACCATTCTATATGCCTTATACTTAGTGTTTAAGTATTCAAATTGGCATTGTGTTGTAACCTATCCACTTACGGGTTTCTTATATTTAGCGTTTACTTAAGTTATTGTGGGTTAATGTAATGTTCTCGACGGAACCGTTTAAGGTTATATAGGTGTCTGAACATCTAGTTTAATAATCATAAAAAGGCTAAAATTATTACATGAAAACTACAGTTTTTAAATGTTGGGGTCCAAGTATATAGAACAGTTTAAAATTCAGAACAAAAAGGTTGATAAATGAGATAATGTCAGAGCAGTCTGCTCTCTCTGTGAGCCTTTTACGGACGCTGCTACAGTATTTTTCAAATTACATAACAGAAGAAAGATAACTTATTTAGATAGACATGACTCAGTCTCGTGTCGTTTTAATGCACATCTCACATTAGTTTATAAAAAAATAATCTACCAGTTGGAAAGAGAGAAATGAAGATATGACAGTTAAAGTCAAATGCTTCAAAACAAAAATAAGTCAACATGAAAATTATAACCAGTATGCTTCCCATTTCCAAACAAAGGGATCGTGTGGACTAACATGTGTCATTGTGTTCATGTGTTTTCTCTAATGAACGCTGAGTGTTACTATTCTATGTTGCATCCGCTACTGGTATACTGATTTGTTTCTTTTTTTAATTTCCCGTGTTAAAATTTTCCACATCTCCCCCGATATCGCGGACCATTTCTTACCTGCTGCCCATCTTTCCACCTTGGTTTTGTCTACAGCTTTTACACTTGATACATGAAAAATAAGGATCTGTAATTTCTTGATGTCATCTAGTTTGATGTTTATCCTTCATTGCGCTTTTCGAAAATGATTTTTCAACATGTTCAATAACTTTGCATTTAATTTCAGTAATCCTCACTATGTGATCTGTCTGTCTGTTTTCGACATAGAACTTTGCACATATGTGCGGCAGTTCAAGTCGCCACACTCCATGTAGCACACAAAGCAAGAGAAGAAAGTAGAAGAAATCCATAATGGAGACAGTAAACAGAGGTGTGAGACAAAGGAATAGTAATAACGAAGAACAATATAGTTTCATTGGAAATCATAAGTCACAGGGAGTGGATGCATCTGCGCCATTGAGAACGATTTTGAGCCATGTCACCAATTGTTTCCAACCATTGGTTTTTACCGTCCCGGGGACCCCAACCAAGAAGTCTACACTATGTGGAGGTTCTTTTACCATGGTGAATCAATTAAAAACCTACTTCAGGTTTAATACTTTATGAGACAGCATACTCTGTACAAAATGTGGATAATAAAAATAAATAAAAAATAATTTTTCCTTCACGTTCCCAGTGGAACATAGGGCTCCAAGCTAGTGGCTTGAAGTTTCTGTAGCAGTGTTTAATTTTTACAGGATGGGATCGCTAGCCTCATGCCCAACCTTTCCTCTTTACCAGCATTATTTCTGGCTCAGTGAGGTAAAGGAGTGCGCCGGCCGGGGATCGAACCCCGGACCATATGCATGGTCGGCGAGCGTGCTAACCGCCATACCACCGACGCACAAAATGTGGATAACGAACTATAAAGACAATATAAACAGAATTTTGTAGGAAGATCAGTATTATTGGGAACTTGTTGAAGGACTTTTAATTGAAAGTCCATGAGAAGAAGTGTTGACGATTTAGCAATTGGGAATTTTAGTATAAAATCCTCTTATCAGGCTGCTTTATGTCTGGATGTGGGTAATTACATGTGTGAACACTAGTCCTGTAATTTAGCTCTCCTGGGTTGTTTACTTTCATGCGTTTTTGCACAACTAATTAATATTTTAGTAGAATTTTCTTTGTTTCATTATTAAACTCAGGTTCCCATACACAGAATGAAAAATGTGAACTTATTCCGTTTTCTGAAAAAGAAATTGAATGTCCAGTTTGTCTATCCCCTGCTGAGGACCCCTTACAGTTAAGTTCATGTGGCCATTGTGCTTGTGCAGCATGTTGGAGGAATTTCATCTCTAGTCAGATCGAAAGTTTTGCACTTGCACATCTCACATGCGTAGCATGTTCCGAACTGTTACAGCCATCAACAATTATCCATCTTCTATCTGCTGTTTCCAATCGCCATGAGTCTTCAGAGGATAGCTTAAAAGAAAATCAGTATGCTCGCAGTTTATCTCGGTATGAAGAGTTTTTACTCCGAAAGGCACTGTCACGTGAACCGGAAGCAAGATGGTGCCCTAGAGGTTGTGGGTAAGTGTCAGTGCGGTGTGAATGAGTGCTTTGGTGGTAATAAACCGTCTTTCACAGTTCTTGCTCTTTGTTAGATTTAAAAACAAATAAAAGTATTCTCTCTACCAAAGGGTCAGTGGTTAATGGGTTATATGAAGATAATTGACTTAAGGCTTGCCAACGCCTCAAATTTCATGTTTTCACACATTTTATAACTACCAGAGAGCTCTAGAAGTTCATTAATTATTTTGAAAAAGCAAAGCAAATAAAAGGTAGCTGACCGTGTGTTCCATTTAAGCAACATGATCCAATGGTGGTGGATTTTTGAACAAAGAAGAGGCCGTTTTTCAGCATATACTATCATCTTAAGATATATGCTTTAGTGACTTGGCAATATGTTTTAGATGCCAATCCAGCAAATTCTTTACTGTGCTAGTCCTATGATTGTGTATCTTATGTTTCAGATCCATTCTGTTCACTCTGGTGTGGAAAGCGTTCCTCACAGAAAATGTGGCACTGACTATTGAGCATATTCTAATAATCACTACTACATAGCTAACTGCTCTAAACGCATAAGCACCATCACTCAATTTTGTAGTGTTGAAACATGAGTCGGGTATCTGTCTGTCTGTTTTCGACATAGAACTTTGCACAAATGTGCGGAAGTTCAAGTCGCCACATTCCGTGTAGCACGCGAAGCAAGAGAAGAAAGTACAAGAAAAGCATAATAGAAACAGTGAGCAGAGGTGTGAGACAAAGGAGTCGGGTATCTACTTTTATTGAGTATTCACAACTCTGTGGAAAATATATTTCATGTTAGTTTATTTGAAAACGATTAAGTCAGCGAGAAAGTTAAATCGGATCACTCTCTGTTACGTCAAAGATTGTATCTATCCAATTTTTCAAGCTTAGTCATGTAGTGCATATTGATTACGTTTGTATGATGCATTTAATTTTTCAAGAAACAGATTATAGCAGATTAATTGGAATACTTGGAAAAATAAACTAAGTAATTAAATGATCATTAATCCTATCTGCTTCGAACATATAGTTAGCCATTTACTAGCGAAGTTATCACATATTGATAGTGACCTATTGGACTCTTGGTTAAATGCATATCCATGTTTTATTCTTATCTGCACAAACTGCTTATTTTCGGTACTTCGTCGAGAAAGTAAAATCGTGAAGTGACTCTTAAATTTATGGTTGTTTGTGTGTAATAGAATATGAAGTATGCCTATTGTGTGACAGCTGTTTCTATTACTCAGCTATTTTAATCTGCTTTTTACTGTAGCAGAGTCAAGATCTTAGTCCACTGAGCTGTTGAGAAGGTTTAAAGTGAGACTGTCTATGTGGCGTCTGTCTGTCTGTCTGGATTCAACATAGAACTTGGCACCGAAGTGCAGCAGTTCGAGTTGCCACGTTCCAAATAGCACACAGAGGTAGACAAGAAGATGAGTGAAGAGAATCAATAGAATTTGACAAGTATAAGAGTGAAACAGAATCGGTAATGGTAGAAAGAAATATGAAAGATTACAGAGACTGAATACATCTGAGCTGGCCATTGACAACGATTTTGAGCCATGTCACCTATTGTCTCCAGCCATTGATTCCTAGAGTCCCGAGGCCCCCAACTCGGGAGTCTGCATCTCCCTACCTGACTCAGTTTAACTGTCAAGGATTTCATGGATTGATGCCATGTTTTCGTTTGGCCACCACTGGCTCTTTTCCAACCTGCACATATATCAGCTAGTTAGTAATGCCCGTGGGGGGAGGCGATGGTTAGGCATGCTCAGCACGTGACCTAGCCATCTTAGTCTATGTAACTTTATAGCCTCGTCGATTGATTTTCCCTGTTTGCCCAACACTACGCCTAACGTCGACATTACTTACTTTATTAAACCACCTAACGTGAGACAGAGATCGCAGACATCTATGATTGAAAGCAGTCAACCTTTTCATGTCTTCAACGCGTATTGGCCATGTTTCAGAGCCATAGAGAAGGACGGAGCGAACTGATGAGCAGTACACACGTCCCTTGGTTGATAACCGGATGTCACGCCTACGCCAGAGATGGTGTAAGTCAGCGAAGGCAGCTCGAGCTTTTCGGATCCGTGCTGAGATTTCATCGCCAATCAGTCCGTTGGTGTTAATACAACTTCCCAAGTAGGTGAAGTGGTCAACATGTTCTATCACTTCACTCCCTATCACTAAGTTAGGAGTTGACGTAGTCCAGTCCTGTAGCAGCATCTTACATTTTGTAGGGGCGAATCGCATGCCAAACATACGGAGATTGCTGCTCAAGGTGTTCAGAAGACTCTGCTGGATTTTGTCAGCATCCTCCCCTAACAGGACTATGTCATCTGCATATTCTAAGTCCATAAGACTATTCCCTGGTAACAAGTCGATTCCTAAGTCATTACGTTCAGTTAAGGATACTTCCATTAGCATATCTATGATGAAGTTAAACAGAAATGGGGAAAGTAGACATCCCTGTCGGACACCACTGGTTGTTACCAATTCAGATGACAATTCCCCATAAGCCCTTACACGACTACGTGAGTTTGAATAGAGTGCCTTGATTAGTGCAATGTACTTTCTATGTGGCGATACGTCTATTACTTTGATATTCGTTTTTTGGTTATCACAGCTCTAAGATGATTTTACTCCTGATGCAACTCTCAGTGACAGTTGTGGATTTTTTGAGTTCTCGTGTTCATGTAAAATCCTGATGTCAGGTTTCTACTCAGGATTCCTAGTTGTATAATGTAAGTACTTAGTGATCATCATCCATCTCAGTGATCTATTAGCATTAATTTAACGAAGATATTTCAAAGATTTTCGCAAAACATATCTGCATGTACTATCCACAATTAATTGTTATTCTTGCTTCTATTTGTAGTGTTTGTGCATATCATATGAATTCATTTTACAATTTCAGATATGGATTGATTGCATACTCCTTTCAGGCCTGTCCACGAATTGTCTGCCCCCACCCTCTGTGTGAAGGCCGTTCATTTTGTTACAAATGTCGAAGACCTTGGACTTCTGGTGATACAAGTGAAAGTTCTTCAGATCAAAATAATGTTACCCATGTCTGCCCATCTGAGCAGGATTTACGTAGTAATGCTCTAGATAATCTGCGCGCCTTTTTTGGTATTCGACACCTTAATAGTCAAATGCCTGGTCTAAATACCATTCCTAATGGTTCTCAGCAGAAGATTTCTGAAATGAGTGTAAGTCCTTCAACCGCTACAAAGGAGAAGCGTTATCGTGTATCCAAAACACTTCGCAGTTCTACTGATTACACGAAAGGTGCTCGATTATCTATGGAGGAATTAGTTGGAGATACTGATTCTGGAAATGTTGGTACCAATACTCCCAATCTAGAAGAAAAGTAATTTCCTATGATTTTTAGTTTAAATTTTGATGTAGACTGTCGTGCAATTGTAAGTTTTTCGTGAGTGGTTTCAGATGGACTGCTTGAGGAATGTAAATGGTAATTCCATATTAGATAAGTTTATTTGGAATAACAGTGATGCTGTATTAATATGTGAATGACGTTCCGAGTACACATTATTGCTCGGTAGGTCATCCAGTTATTAATACTGCATCACTGTTTTATTCCAAATAAACTTATCTAATATGGAATTACATTCTATCACAATATGCTAGTTCTACAGTTACATTAAGGATGAATGTTGTAGTTTCTATATTGTAAGTAAAATGTGTACTGCATTAAGATGCGTGAATATTATCAGTTTCCAATGTCAATAGTAATCTTTCACTTTCTATCCACAGGCATTCATCCTCTGATTCTGATGTGACTAACTCCTTTGAATCGTCTAAAACTGAGAGACGCGCTTCCGTGGAACTCAATGAACCAGGTCAGTGCTTATACATATACTTACATATATATATATATATATTTAAATGCTCATGTTCGTAGACAGTTAGTTGCTGTATCGATTGATTAAATTACAAATGTATCGTTACGTGTAACAACTGAACGCTTGCCGATTTCGAAAGGCCTTTTCCCAAGCTGGTTATAAAGTGGTCTGATACCAGTATTTACTGCTTTCTTCAGTTGTGACTTGTTTAGCTCTATTCGTCTTCGTAGCACCTATGACTAACTGACTTTCTTGTTCTCTGGCTTCCAATGAATCTAAGGCTATGATATGATATACGCATAAAGTGTAAGTCAGTAATTACGCGAATTCTGACATTGACACAGTTTTTTTAGAAGCATTATATTTTATTGCATCCACTCAACTAAAAGAACAGTTTAAGTATTTCGCGGGTTAAACGCAATTTAAAATGCATAGTAAAATAAAATGTTTCAGACACATGACGTTTGTGCTGTCTTTTACAAAAGTTATGACTCCAAATAGGCGGTTTTTGCACAACATTTATAAAACGCACTGTTTAATGATTATTGTCTTTTGTCGTTGAATTGTAATGTTGTTCATTATCTGGTTAGTGGTGTATAATGTACATTGGATTGGTTCGTCAGTTTGTATGATTGTATGTCAGTAATTCGTTTTACTTAAAATAGGCATTGATTATGTGTATACAATTGAAAATTATAACGATTTTGTATGCGAAAAATAAGTGGAACAATATGTATTTGAAATCAATAGTTTAACAACACTAACTTAGATATTAACACCATAAGGTATCGATTTGAGTTGCCAAATCTGACAAATGCCACATGAAAAGCTGTCAACTAAAAGAATGACAAATGTACAAGAAATGAATATAGTAGTACTTGTGTTAATTTTAGTAAAAAAAAAGAAAATACCTAGTGAAAATGTGATTTGGTTAAGACAAGATTTAAAGTGATACTGAACTTCAGTGTAAATGGTAATCATGGCAACAAATAGAATTGATATTATGGTCTTATGTAAGCTACATAACCTCAATTCTGCAAATAAATATGAGACAAAAATCCAGCATAGTTGTAGAAATAGTTTCGATATAAGACAAGAGGTTTATTGTGTTTGCAAACTAACATCAGGTGGATGCGCACTGATGAAGAGTCCCAAACTAGGAGGAAACAGCTGTCCAGTACTCCCAGCTGGTTTTCCACTGGTTCTCTAACCGATGTCAGCTCATGATAAAATCCTGTAAACGATCAATCAAATCCCTACAAACCAATACTTGAATAACATCACTTAGGTAGAATCAGTGAGTCAGTCATTTCAATATTCCGTGTATTCGAGTATGGAGCGAGTGGTTTACTTTAGCCCACATCGTCATGAATCTTGATCATCTGAAGTGGCTATCAGTGAAAATAGTTCACTTTTAAAGCTTCAGAGTACTCCACCTAGTGACGCCTTGGGTTTAGACCTCTGAGGAGACACTAGCTCTCTTTATGTTACTGGTATACCTCCCTGTGTGACTGAAACTAACTGTCAATGACTTCATATTTTGCTGTGATCACTGCTTACTCTTTTCCAACGTAATCCTATGTTGGTTAACATTGCTCAACGAGGACGGTGGTTTCTAAACATACTCAACAGGTATCCCAGCCATCTCAATCGATGTAGCTTCCTAGTGTCATCAACTGAATTCCCTTCCTTATCTAACACTCTACACCTTAACTCAATACTATTCAGTGTGTTAGATATCAGCAGCTAACTATTATTGACAAGGATTTGAAATCAGTTGAACTGTGTACCAGGTGCACGCTGTACGTTATCCTGTGATCTCTGTGTTGGTTTTCCCTAATCCCTATGATTTAACGATCCTTGCTAACACATGATGGCGTCATTATGTGAAACTGTGTATTGCTGGGTACAGTGTAATTCTTTATTCTAGCGCTAACTATACGCACCAACTTTTTCAATGGGTTCAGAACTTTGAATTCTTTTGTCGATATGTATTTGTAAGTAGTTATTATATCGTGTGAATGCTTATAAGGTTACTTTTACAGTTTATTAGACTATCACATGATTTGAATTCACTACACTCTTAAGGAAAGCATAGACATTTTCAGCGTATGCAATTCTACTAACGTTGATCGATATCATTTGTTTGTAGATCAACTTCTGAAGAATTTTCTTCAGTTTCACTTATATATAATCAATATCACTGGAAAATCTGGTACAAAGAAGCTTGCATAAATGTCTAGATTTCATTTGTAGGTAACTTATTCATTAAGACATACAACTGAGTTAGAATTCGATAATGTCAAAAGAATAGTAATTGGCGATGCAGCAACTCAGTGTGGTGGTGCAGACTTCATGTTCACGAATAAACTGATTTTAATGCCAGTAGTTATTAGCTTGGAAATCTGTTCAGTTATGGAACTTCGTTTGCATCTCCTAAGCTTCCTCACTAGCCGAGGACGAATACTTGCTGATGATATTGGCTGTAGTAGTCGTGCTAAAGTTAGAATTCATGGGTCATTGAGTCGTGTCCCAGTGGTTGAATAGGCCGTGAGTTTGCCTTGTAACTGGGAGGCCTTAGGTTCGAACTTCAGTGGAAGGCCTACTGCCGGTGATTTCTAAACTAGGATGAAACACCTGCCCAGTACTTTCGTGGTTGTCAATGGTTCTGTAACTGATATCAATCTGTGGTCAAAATTAAAAACCAATCAAATCCCTACAAATCAACTATTGAAAAAAAAGATACAGAAAAGACAGAAAAATAAAATCCGAAAAACTATTATCAACTGAAATGTATGACAGCAAAAATAGTAGCATGAAGAATCATGAGTGTTTAATGAAAATGGGAGCTTACATAGAGTGAATGTATCTGTACCACTGAAAACAATTTTGAGCTATATCACTAATAGTCTCTAGCAATTGGTTCATATTATACCAAGGACATTAAGCAAGCAGTTTGCTCCTCCCTATGTGGCTCAAACCAACTGTCAAAGATTTCATAGATTGATGCCGACCGATAGTTGCTACCTTGAAGTGGTGGTCGGGCTTGCACACTGCGATGACCCAATAAGCTACACTGGCTGGAAACAATGCTCCTGCAGGTCCTACCATGCCAGGAAGGTTGTTAGGATAGCGATTAGATTAAGAGCAGTTACCAGCATAGTGTAAGAATTTTTCTTACACTATGCTGGGGGTCTGTAGGCGAATTCATACTGCTGGGGAACAGTGGTGTAACAGCTGTGAGGTGTTTCCCTCAGATGACCAACATGCCAGCTGTGCTCTCCACTCTGGAGAGGGGGAGTTAGAAAGGGTTGACCCCAAAATTCGTACATCCCGACTTACCCTATGGTGGTCCGTAACCTGCGGTAAGTTTACTGATACGGAACCAAACCAAGAAACCAGTTCATACAGGCAGTGTGTGACCAGCCTCAAGCAGTTGTCCCCTGGGCTCTGCGGTCACGCAACACTAACCCTCTTTATGTTTCAGGTAACCGAAGAATCAAGCAACTTCCACCGTGTGGGCAGCCGGGAAGTAACAACCGCCCACACACTTCCAAAAGCACACTTCCTGATGCCGGGTTCTGATTCGCCCTAATAATAAGTCGAATTTCTGTGACTCAATAAAACAGAAACAGTTGAGGTATACTAGCTAGCTAATCATAAATACTTTTGGTATTTCTAATCAAAAACATAATGAGAATGGTTAATCAGTATATAAAAATAGATGTGTGTGTGGCTTATTTCTTAGTGTCCATATTGTTTCAGGCCTTTGTTTCAAACAGATAAGATAATAATAAAAATTGTTTACATGCAACAAGTGAAAACAAAATAAAATCACATGCAGTTTGTACTTTAGTATGTCTCTTCATATAACATTAGATATCGATTGATTGGATAGTCAAAAATCTAGCTTAATTTGTCTCGTTATGACCATTTAATTGATCCGGAAACTGATTGTTTTAGTTATTCTACGATTGTATATTGTAGTTTCAAGAAAAAAAAGCTGAAAGCGTGTTTGTCTCTTGCTATTCATTCATAGGGGAATAATGTATCAGCTTAAATCAATTATGTACTATAATCCCATTTATGTCAGAAATCATTCCCTAGTGATTTGATCTACACTGTTAGTATTCTTCACTCAAATATTGGTCTTAAATTACTGAATTTTAAGAAAACAAATTTTAGTGAAATCCGATTGTCCTCTAAAATAACCCCTATGTATTTTAGAAGGAGTAAACTAAACAGATAGTGTCACATGGATTTTTAGGGGTGATTGTCTGTCTAGGTCAAACACTACAGTTTGGTGTACTAGTTGTCTTGGTAATAGATAAATGAAGTGGTAGGATGTGGAGGAAGTAAATTCATAAAAAGCTATTGGGAAGTGGTCAACTGATAGAATCCCACAGCTGGTTATCTATAGGTGTTCAGATAAACCTGCTTAGATCACAGGATGTTCGCATTCAGCGTATATTCTACACTGAAGCCATGGAAAACGGTTCTTGGTCATATATATATATATTTTTTTTTTTATTTTTGATTACAGCTTGATTCCACACTGTATTTTTGGTACAAGTATGGAATTTTCAGCGTGGATATCGGTAGCCCAAAATTCGCAGGCCGACCGTAGATATCAGGTGTGCGTCGGCGAGGGCTCGAACCCCGGACCATGTGCATGGTCGGCGAGAGTCCTAACCACTGTGCCACCGACGCACAGCCTATGAAGTATGATTTATCATCTGCATTTAAGATGATGCCGATTATGAACTTCGAATTCGAAGGTGACTTGGCTGCCAAGATTTTGTAAAACTGATCTCAAGCTTCCTGTAAACAACATTCATCGCCGTATCACTTTCAGTGGTGTTTTTCAGCTGACCGTTATTTTCTAGTTATCTGAAGGATTACATTGTGCACTTGACCCACTCTTTGTATACCAATTCGTCTGCTCCAATGGAGGTTGATATATCTGTTCTGTCTAATAGTGTGCAAGAAGACTATCCTGTAATGGTCATTTCATCTCAATCTCTTTTATTGAAATTATCGATAAAACAGAGAGAAATCTTCCAAAGTCAATGCATATCCGGCTCATTTATATTACTGAAGCTGTAGTCATCGAAATAAAGAAGCTGAAGCCTGGTGTACAGAAGAAACCGCTTCATCAACCTCTTCTTCTTTCTTGATCCTAATCCGTTTGTGTTGAAATTATTAACAATGTAAAATCCACTTACTTCTTCCACCTGACTCGATTATTATGTAATGTCACCTTTTTTCTGCTCCTATTTTCATTTTAGTGAGAATTCTTTACTTAGGTATTTTGTCATATTACTGTTTAGTTTATACACAGCTTCCTAAAGCATCTAGAACCTGAGGGGAGATAAGTTCAGCGATCTAACCTGAAATCCTTTCACATTCAAATATAAGAAAATTCTCATTCATCTATTTCTGTATTTTACTTTTCCTAGGCTCTGCAGTTAAGCCTTGTCCTAATTGCAAAACTCTTATACAAAAATTAAACGATGGAAGTTGTAATTCTATGGTTTGCTCAATTTGTAATTATGAGTTTTGTTGGTTATGCTTACGTGAAACAACAGCTACGCATTATCTGAAGTATGTAAGCAGAAGTGTTTAGTCTTATGATATGTAATGTTCTTGTAAACTCATTATTCATTCTTCTATTATCACTCTATTGTGTATTTTTTATTAAGTATATGTTCAGTTGGTTTCGTGGGAATATAATCTATGCATAGCAATTCAGATCATCCTGTTCTGGAGCATATATATATATATATATATATATATATATATATATATAATTCAAGTTTCAACATGCCAGAAATGTTGTTTGGGTGGTAGTTTGGCTGAAATCAGTTCCTATCATCCTAGTGGTGGCAGTCTGATGGGGGGCTGGTGATGAAATGCCTTTCTTGAACAACCAGGAAGCCACTTAAGCATTACCCATTCTGTTTCACTCTTATACTTGTCAGACTGTATTGATTCTCTTCACTCATCTTCTTGTCTACCTCTGTGTGCTATTTGGAACGTGGCAACTCGAACTGCTGCACTTCGGTGCCAAGTTCTATGTTGAATCCAGACAGACAGACAGACTTATGCATTTAGAAGGTTGTCGTGGTCATCCGCAATGTTTGATTACAAACAAAGTGGCAAAAATCCCATCATTTCCAACAAAGCGCATGTAATCGAAACCTTATTTGTAAATATTACTGTATAACACTGTGAGACTTTATCAAAATAAATTGTATTCATAATGGATTTATAATCTGCCACAGTAACCAAGTTCTATCCTTATATCATCCATTTTATTTTATTTTTGTATCTTTCATATTTCTCTACTTCCTACCAATTGTACCATGTCTTATAAAGTCCCTTAATCTTCTTGTTACTTCGTTACAATTACTCACTCTTTAAGCTAATATATCTTAAAACTGTTCTGGCAACTTCACATTGAAGCTGTCGATGATCGAAACTTATACCAGCCAAAAGTCTGGTATACATGCCTTACAAATGTATTTTGCTATCTCAAACATATTCATTTAACCCCAACTGGCGACTGATATTTTCAATCTGCAGATGAATCAATGGCCAGTACTCACACATTCTACCTGGAATTCACCTGCATTTCGGTTGTGCATTAGTTAGTCTCAGATTGACTGGAACGTAGATATCAATCTTGACTGATATAGTATTCCAAAGTCCACAGTAATGAATAACAAACCTAAATAAGTAAGCAGGTTCAGGAACACACTATCAAATCTAAACAGTCAAACTACAACCCACAAGTTCGCCATATTATGGGCACCAAGACATTCGCTACACAAAATCTCATATTTTCTATGAGAGCTGCGATACTGCCCGGACTCCCAGACACCAAATCAGGTGATTTTCATAAAAGGCTACACTCCGAGCCTTTGACTTGAATTCTGATCCACAAGTCAGTAGAGTAGCGTCAGGACCTGTGTTCCTATTGTTTCCGATGTCCGAGCAAGGTTCACACGCCATTCGGATGATTCTGGATTCCATGTACACTATCGGTTTGGTATCAGGGTTTCTCAGATCCCCCTAGGCAAAATAGCTTGTCCGCCAGTCCGGTTGTAAGTGCCAGACGTTCGCACTCACCCTGTGAGGAACACTCTGGCTGCGTAGAGGCAGTGAAGCTGTGAACTTGCTGTCATATAGAGACATTTCCAGATGTAGACCGAAGTCTACCCACCCTCGGTCGTACCAGCTTGTGTATAGAAGCTAGCAAATAATGAATGACAGTGTCGTGTATATATTTGTCTAGGTAGCATTCTCAAGAGATGTTTCATTTTTGTGATATGTAATCATAGATTAATATTAATCATAACTTTCTTCAAGATCCTATTTAGTCGCTATCTCCTCTTTTCTTATTTTCAGTTTTTCCGGTTGTACTGTATTGGGTCGTAGTCAGTGGTCTAAACTTCGTCGTGTTGTGACTGTTTGTGGTATTATGCTGAGTACACCTATTCTACTTCCACTTGCAATTGTTTTAGCACTGCCTGCTATATCCGTTTGGTTCACCTTCTCCATGGCCAGACAGGTAATTTATGACTTTTCTTCTTTTTGAGAATATGACTTACGCGATAAAATGATTACATTCTCACTTTATTGTGAAGTGTAGGAAATCTTTGTAGAGCAAGTTGACCTACTGTTGTGTTTTTATTTCATCATTACTAAGTCGTAATTGGTGTATGTTATTGTCAAGATCTCTACTCTATTGTCACACTCCTCAGTTCATTATCTACTTCTAGCAGGTGCAAATAATTTTCTCCAAACATTACGTACATGTTTACACCAATCCTCCAGTTTTTTTGTTTCAGTTGAAAATTATGAATTTGATTACCATATATAGTGACTTTTTTATTATTTGACTTAAACACTGTAATTTCCGAATCTCCATGAGTTTTCATTTGGACTATGTTAATTACTACGCAATTTTGGCATGTATCATATCAAGACCTCAGCAGGCATTTTGTTAAATTACCCTTCTATAAAGCATTTAGTTTATTACTTTTTTCAGGGACATGTATATATATCGACGATGTATATTAATTACTACGGTTGAAAGGGATTTATTAGTTAAGTGGGATAAAGATAAGACGTAAGTTTTAATTCACTGATGACTGTTCCACATCCTTTCAACTCCGTCCAACTTGTATTATTTAAGGCCTACTTAACGACATTTGGATATTTGAGCAGTGATGAAAGGAAAACCGACTAGTTGGTGATCATCCCCATAAAAGACTGTAATACGTGTATTCATCTCTAGATGATAACTTCTCTGTTAATTCACGAATGTTATCACAACTAGGGTGTCTAATATGAGTACAACAAGTTATCTAGCTGATCAGATGACATTAGATGAAGTGCCAAGTTACTAATAGGCCGCTAAGTTCAGAATTATTTGAAAAGCAGCAGAGCTATATTTTGATGTTATGTTATCTGAGCTAGATGGTTTGCTTGCGAAACTTCCATTGCCCAAGTAGGCAACATCTTCAGCGCATACACTTCAATTTGAAGTGAGTTTTTAGATTTCTCCACCAGTTCATTAGTCATCTCTTCTGGGGACCTAGAACGTGATTGATTGTTTTCGTGTGTTTTCACACGTGTTTCCTTGGCCTGAGCTTTAACATACAGAGGGTCAAAGTCCAGTTCAAGAAAACGATCAATACCAATACAAGTAGTCTATAGAGGGTGTGAAAACACACGAAAACAATCAATCACGTTCTAGGTCACCAGGAGAGATGACTAATGAACTCGTGGAGAAATCTAAAAGCTCACTTCAAATTGAAGTGTATGCGCTGAAGATGTTGCCTAATTGAGCAAACCATCTAGCTTAGAGAATACAACTACATCAAAATCATCCACCTGAGCTATAAAGTTTTCTCCATCATACAGAAATATATTTTTGATTGTAAAATTTACACTGATAAATATTTTCTCTATTCCCACGATGTTTTGGTTAGATAAATTTCTGTTGGATTTTCCTTCTCTAACCTTGTTTAAATTTGCATTTTTCTGATCCTTTTTCGTAATAATTAATGTTACTGCCTTCCGATAGAGCATGTGTCTCTCTCTGTTTTGAGCAGTTAGTCAATCTTAAGAATTAATGCCAGAAAAAGTTAAGCACATAATTCCTATTATTTGGTTCTCAGTAGTCTTTCATTATCAAATTAAATAGTCATATTAATATGCTATAATGTTGGGCAAGCATTGTCCTACATTTTAAATAAGTTAACTTGATATAGCACGTCAACACAGTGTGATGATTAGTAATATCACGACCACTTTCATGTGATCATGACTAATAATTTGTGCTTAAAACTGTATCTGATTAGTTTATATCGTACCAAATAAAGCTTATTTAACGTGACCTCTGTGTAAGTGCAATGTCAAGGTCTCATTATTTCATCTTGTATTGTACAAGGTATCACAGCTTTTTTATTACTCTAATACTGATGACATAAACAATGTAGGATATAGTCAGTGTTCGTGAATTAAATTTTGGATACAGTTATCTTAGGGTATTTGAATAACTTGGCATGACCAGTAACCGTTAGAATCATTTAAAGCCGAATAATTGACCACACTCTTCAGTCATTTATGAAAGTGGTATATTTATATAATTTGAAAACAAAAGGGCTACACCAGTTAGTAGGGAAAATTGCCAATTACAAAGAAATACTATTAGGTGGTTGGAGGCAATCGACAGGAAGCCTCTAATCATCCGATAACAACGCTTCAGAGTGCACCGTGATAGCGAACCATCTAAAATGATAGTCACACTGCAAACCTGACTGATAGAATTCACAGTCTGCACCAAACAAAGAACTGAACGGATGGTACTAATTACCAACTAGGTGTCCAATCAAAGCCTACAAAGAAATACTATCTGACCTATTGCTTTAGTTAATATCTTCAGCTTCTTTATGTCTCAGAGAGATTAATGATTAGACAAGGAGAAGAGAAGACGTTCATTCACATAGCTGTACAATCGCATTTATATATAATTATTTGTGTGTGTGTGTGTGTATGTGTGTACATGAGGTTTGTCAAGCTTAGGTAATTGATCAGGTAATACAAGAATGATCTAATATAGAAACAAGGTTAATCAGACAACAGCTAAAGTAAGATTACAGTAAATTAAATATTCCCATAATTTATTCAGAACAAAATATTTAGAGCGAACAATTGTTTTCAATAAATTCTTCTTCAGGCTCTACAACTATAAATCCATTAATGTAAGCATACAATAGCCAGTAAATACGAATTAGAATCATATCAAAAAGTGTATTGTGGAACAAGTATAAGATGGGATGAAACAATAGTCATAGTTTTTTAATATGCATGGACAATAACAACATGGGACAGAATGAGATGAAATAATTTAATTTAATGATGTGTGTATATATATAAATATAGTTAACAGAAAATACAGGTTTCAAGAGTGAGTGTAATCAGGGTGTGAGATTGAGTTAGTAAGTTAGATGACGTAATATAATTGACTAAAATGTTTCAACTTAGTTCAGGGTAGCAACAGAGGTAATTACAGGTAGAGACTAAGTAGAAGTGGGGTAGATAATAATGCCATTTAAATTAGAACTGAAATTAAGCGATTAAGTTGGATGACGTAAAATAAATGAATGACTAGAAATTGAGCGTTGGCCAAGTCAGTAACAGTGGTAGCGAGGTGTAGAAATTAAATCGGGTGGAGGTAGACAACAGAAGGTTGAAAATGTAAAATATTACAATTGAGAAGACAAAATAATACTAATGAAGACTCAGACAAAAAAAGATTAGGTAGAATTTACTTGTCGGGTAGTAAGATAGATTACGTCCATTGCAAGGGTAGTGATTGAACCAACTTCTTCTGTATGCAGAGTTCAGGACTTAGCAAGTGACTACTTCTTATTCTGTAGGCGACTTTGAAGTTTGTTTGCGAAGTAGCTTGGTGTCCGGATTCTATCAGATGTTCTCAGATGGAGCTGCGGGGCACCGTTTTTCTCCTTTGTAAAACCATATTGGTAAGTGTTCGGTGATATGTATGGCCGACATACCCGCCCGTACCCAGCGTTCGCCTTGTTTCTATATTAGATCATTCTTGTATTACCTGATCAATTACCTAAGCTTGACAAACCTCATGTACACACATACACACACACACACAAATAATTATATATAAATGCGATTGTACAGCTATGTGAATGAATTCGCTGTCGAAAAGAGTCTCTTCGCTTTTTCAAAGGACATTATTAATATAAAGATAAGATTTAGACAATATGATTAAGTGTAATTCTGTTATATTTTAATACAAAGTGCTATACAATGAAACAGTAATATTCACTGCATAATTTCTAGCATAAACTCTGTTGTCTGTTGTTACAGAATGACTTAACGATTTGCAGGCCTGTAAATATCAGATTATAGAAGAGTTACGTGGTAAATTATACTGTAATTTAAGATTAGAACTTGTTGACTGTAAAGGAATATGATTCTAAACTAGTTAAGTTTATCTGATATAGCGTGCAGTGATGCGATATTATCAAGTAAGGTGGTGGTGACATTTTAAGCAAAATTCTATTGTTCATAATCACACACAGCTAGCTCTTTATGGTAAGTTAGAAAGTCATCTGACTGCCTAAATGTGATAATGAGTAATAAATCGGGCTCCAAACGTCATTCAGTTCAATAGCACTGCATCATTCTGAGTCATATCAAATTAATTTAAACAAATACAAAAGCTATATTTTTATTTATTTTTTATTACAGCTTGATTCCACACTGTATTTTTGGTACAAGTATGGAATTTTCAGCATAGATATCGGTAGCCCAAATTTTGTAGGCCGACCATAGATATCAGGTGTGCTTCGGTAGGGGGTCGAGCCTCGGATCATGTTCATGGTTGGCGAGAGTCCTAATCACTGTGCCACCGACGCACAGTAGTAAGTATATAAGCCATAACAATAAACGATACGTATTAGGTTACAAAATAACTGGAGGACTTAAATGATGCACATACATTTTAATTGTAATCAACAGTGCCGGGGTCCTAGTAGGCCAAACGACAACAACACGGAAAGGACAGTAGTTAGAAGTTTATATTCAGTAGAATTACTTGTATTGTGCATTTAGAATAAACAGAAACAACAGTGACCACTCACATAGCACAGTAACAAAAATAGTTGATCACATGACATAGAGGTACAAGCATAATTGTTTGTCAATAATTTCACATAGTATCTTCAGGTACTGTTTGGATTCTGCTTCATTGAGTTTTAATTTTGTCAGTAAATGGGTTCCTTCGGTATATTCTGAATACCTTGTCACTATGATTATATATATATATATATATATATATATATATATATATATATATATATATATATATATATATATTGAATTATGAATTATTAATCCTTTAGATATTTGACTAAGTTATCCTGATAAACAGTAAGTAGTCAATCTCACTAAAACCAATGACTGCCCTCTGTAAAGACAACGACCAGTTTATTGGGATTGGATTTCAGGCGTAATTCTTTTCTGTTTCACTGTGGTCATTCGATCATACTGAAATATTGTCCGAATATCCTGAAGTACTGCTTCATGGATGTAGTTTCTTTCTCTCTATATATATATCTCATGCTCATTATAACATGGTTTCAGTGTTTACTAAAATCCACCCGACTCTTGAAAATTGTCAAACTCAATAGGGTTGTAAGCCTGAATGAAATCTTTATGGAATTCTCTCTTCTATAAATGTTATGTAACAAAACTGTAAATTTCAAGTAATGTGTATTGCCGTAGTTAACATATAGTTTTATATTCCTAGGATGTTATGCAGACAGACAACTGTTAACAATCGATACCTTGTTGTTATCACTGCAGTACACTTTTTATCTCATTCGAGTTTATTAGGCATTTACCTCACGTGAGACAACTTGAATTATTACTAATTTTTTTTCCTGTCGAACATCCTTCACTATGCCATAGATTAAATGATCTTACCATAGCGTGATATGTGTTTCTGCGTGTGTTGTGTATCTTTATATGAAATACAAAGACATTTGTTAATTTTATTATTATTATTAATTCAAACCGTATGGTATTTACAATTTCATTGTGAACTCATTTTTTTTTACATATTTTTGAAAAAGCAGCAAGCAAGCTAGTTACACTCTTCTTCTCTGTCTTGCAACATTGGAGAAACAACTAGCTGTGTGATTGGATTTAAGATATAGTGTTGATAATTATTTAATAGCTAGTGTAATTGTATTGTTTATATATATCGTTTAAGAGATTATTGTCATCTTCATCGAATGAATGAATGAAAGATTCCCACGTGAAATATCGCTTTTATTTATCTGTTTTTTTTCTGACTTGATAAGTTAGTTATTGCATAATTTTTTTAGGAAAAAAAGTTGTTATACATATAAAGTTAGTTAGGGTAAAAATTTCAACTATATTTTTACACTACTTTTGTAAACTTATTGTTGATTAGGAAGAAATCGATTTGTTTTCCAAATATAAATGTAGAATTCGGGTTCTGTCAGGATGAGTTCATAAAGGTAACAGTCTACAACATAATGTTCTCTTTATTATAACTGCTGACTTAACCCTAACTCACTTCAGAGACACAGGGATTGACTTGCTACCAGGGAATAATCTCGTTGACTTAGAATATGCAGACGATATAGTCCTTCTAGTCGAGGACGCTGACAAATTGCAGAGTCTTCTGAACACCTTGACCTGCAATCTACGAATGTTTGGCATGCGATTCGCTCCCTCTGTGAAATGTAAGATGATGCTACAGGACTGGACTACACTGACTCCTAGTTTAGAAATAGGGAACGAAGTGGTAGAGCTGATTGACCGCTTCACTTATTTGGAAAGTTGCATCAGCCAATGCTAACGGGTTGATCTCTGACGAAATCTCAGCAAGGATACAGAGGGCTAGTTTCGCATATGCCAGTTTACGCCGTCTCTTGCGTAGACGTGATATCCGACTTTCGACCAACGGGCGTGTGTACTGCTCATCAGTCCGTTCCATCCTCCTTTATGCCTGTGAATGAGACCTGGCCATTGAGATTAGAGGACATGAAAAGATTAGCTGTCTTTGATCATAGGTGCCTGCACTCTATCTCCCGTGCGAAATGGTATAATAAGGTGAGCAATATTGAGGTTAGGCTTCGGTCGAGTGCTAGGTAAGGAGGGGAAATCAATCGACAAGGCTGTGAAATTACATCGACTGAGGTGGTTAGGATATGTGTTACGTATGCCTAGTCATCGCCTTCCTCGACGGGAAATGTAAGTTGACGTAGGGTCAGGCTGGAAAAGAGCTAGCTAGTGGTGGTCAAACCAAGACATGGCACCAGTCAATGAAATCTACAACAGTTAGTTTATGCCACGTAGGAAGGTGTAGACTTCCTGATTGGGGTCCCCGGGACGGTAAAAACCAATGGTTGGAAACTATTGGTGACATGGCCTAAAATCGTTCTCAATGGCTGATGCAAATGCATCCACTCCCTGTGACTTATGATTTCCAATGAAACTGTTTTGTTCTTCGTTATTACTCTTCCTTTTTCTCACACCTCTGTTTACTGTCTCTAATATGCATTTCTTCTCTTGCTTTGTGTGCTACATGGAGAGTGGCAACTTAAAGTGCTGCACATCTTTAAGAAGTTCTATGTTGAAATCAGTCAGTCAGAGGCGGATCTTGGTGGCTGAATGGTCTACGAAATATTGATTGATTAAAAATTGAGACGGTTTTTTGACGTGAATAGTAATTCCAACTTGGAATAGTTGCTTTCACCTGTTTGTTTTTCCGAAATGCATGTTGTATTTGTCAAATTTAGAATAGCGTTACATGTCTGTACGATGTCCTAGTTTAAATATAAACTGAAATCTTTAAAATATGAAAATACATTGAAATCGGTGTCATATGAGTAATTAGTGACTACATCTCAACACATACAGAACTGTTTTGCCCTGGGTAGCTTACTCTGTCTCTTCCACTAATAAAATATCTCATTTGTCTTCAAACGCCGAGTGTACGGCTTCACAGTTTGCTTCTTCGGTATTTATGAATAAAATTTGAAAGTTACAAATCGTCATTCATTGGTTATCCTATAGAATTACTCGTGCATGCTGATACCACAAAATGAACAACTCTGTTTTTAAGTATAGAGTGATATTTTGCGATAATGAACCAGTTAATTAAGTTATGCATCTGAACTTATTGTGAAACGGGATAGAAATATATAACGAATGGTGAGTCACTGCTTTCCCGAGAGAACGACATTAAGTGAAAAACAATCATGTTGGAATTATGTTAGAAACGGCTTGATCAAAATATGATACCAATCTATGATTTTTCAGAACAATAGTCTAAGCCGTAAAGTGAAGAGTATTTTGTCTCACTGAAGTCCTCCAATTGTTAGAAATAAGACTTAAGAGGACGTTGACTTTTCCTCTGAAGGTTTTCATCCTTCAATTATATTCTTTTTTGTTTCTTTTGTATATCGCTACAAAGTGTGACACTCTGAACTAATTTACTCCTGTACTAGTTGTTCTGTGGACACTTGTCTGTCCGTTTTTGAACTTAAAACCCAAAATAAACTAAGCAGAGCAAGTATAGAGAAAAGTTCAGTCAAAAACAAGGTACACTTCAAGCTGTGTTTTTTTTCATTCTTAGTTTAAATGCCTGCATAAATACAACTGTCACTTACTATATGTTTTTTTACTGTTTGTGTATCTCTGATCTGTGAGTACATTAAGGTTGATTTTAAAAAAGAAAGCAATTTATTCCCCTAATTATAAATAGTATGAATTATTAAGTGTATCGGCAATCACCTGTACTTGATGGCATTGAAATGATGCTTATACATTGTTATGTACTGGTCGAGTAATTAATAGTCCTGACGCAAGAAGGCGGAAATCAGAAAACCATCAGGTTCACGATGATACTTGTATTTTTCAAACAAGGAAAATCAATGTCACACAAGTGTATGAGCGAATGTTCAAAAATGGACGAATCAATAGACAGTCTTAACATGATTGGTTGTAATGTCATGTGACAACAAGGTCAGGGCATGCTTGTTTAGTTAGTGGACAGACAAAAACATATTGTCAATTATAATGGAATATCGATCCATATATACATAGCAAAATATAACAGACTGTCAAAAACAAACACACATATTATGTGGATACATATCATATATATATATATATATATATATATATATATATATATATATATATATATATTGCATAACAAGTCCATTTATTTCACTGTAAAGCAACTAATTTCAGCCATCATAAGATTCTTTGTCAAACCATTTTACAATAATAATCTTAACATCTCTACGAAATAAAAGCAAGGCTTTGGTGTTCACAACACACACTTCGACTATGTTAAATAACTTTCTAATGATTCATTCAGATTTTACATTCTAATTCTTTCAAAGAAAGCACATATGGTCTGCAAATGTGTGAGGTATAATAATTATTGATTTTCTCTAGAAATGTCAGTATTTCTTTGTGTAGCTGTATTCATTTTATAACAAATTATATAGACACAAATAAATTCCAGTAATCAGAAAAGTGTTACACGAAAAATCTCTTATAAATCTTCCACACTTAGTGCTGACTTTCTTCTATTTGGTATGGGTTTTACAAGCTAGTTCAATCATTTTTTGTTAGACTTTAGTATGGTTAGTCTTCGGTGTATTCTCTAGGGAATAAATCTGCAGTGCACTTTCTCTCTCAGTGATTGTACAAACGATTTTAGTGCTATTTCAAATAATCCTTAACCTTATTTCAAGATAAATTTGACACAAAATCTAAAAATTGAACCACAACCTTTGGTTCATAACTCACTCTTTTCAATACGCTATTTTTTAATCAATATAACACAAAATAACTGCGGAAACCAAAACACTATGGTTAATGGTTCGAATGTTAAGACATACGCATATTCCTCTATGCCTTTCACTTCAATTATGAAGTCATGATACACTAACAGACATATTACCGTTAACATACAGGATTTTTTAAAAGTGAGAACGAGATATGCAATATCTCCTTTCTGAATATTCTATATCTCATAAGTGTTAAACAGAAATGCTGTAACTGACATTTTATACACATGACTAAACAGGCATTCTACCAGCACCAAATGCACTCGAAGCCAGTATATGCAGCTTCGGCCTTCATCGTACACCAATTGATTTCATCAAACTTAACCACATACTGGCTTTTTCTTTGTTATGTCTGTATTATAACTTACTGATTCTTTATACCATAGATAAGCATTTCCTAAAGTCTACTGATCACTCCAGACTACTGTAATTAATTTTTTTATCTTCATTTTGCAGGCTAATCGAGTGTTACAATCAAAATCCAAACATTTACGACGGTTTGTCGTATTCTGGGTTGTCGTCGCTGGTCTTATTTTGTATCCAGTATTAACAGGTGGGTAGATTTATCTTGATTGACAATTTTTGTTGGTGCGCAAAATCAACTCTCAGAACAAAACTTATCATCAGTCTATAAAGTTAGTTTAGATTGGAATTCTGTTGAGGAAAGCGGTCGTAAAGTTCACTCCTTAATAGTATCCGATTCATGGATTTGTAAGGTTTTTGTATCCATGGTGTTTAGTTTTAGCCTGGCATTTTCTTCAAAACTCACAATGAGAATTTTCGAAAACTTTATTAAGTCATATCAAACTTATTTTTAAAAAGGATTGAATCCTAATGAAATTTTCACTTTATTGGATATTTAACTGCATTTATGTCGTCTTATTGTGTCGCTATACGATCCAAGTTTGTTTATCTGCATACATGCTGTATCACTTAAACTCCCGAAACACTTGCATGGAAGTTAAGTTCGCGTTATTCAGAATGTAAACTTGCATATTTTATGAATAGAAAAATTACTGCGAATTTTATGTGTACATATGTTAAATGAGATATTTCTTCTATTCATACTTGGTCTTTTCCCATGGTAAGAAAAAAGACTGGTAAATGACTGAATCTCTCCATAATAAGCACCTTATATTTATCTCTAAAGTCGTTTCTGGAATGCAACTGATTTGATTTTCTTCACAATATAGCGCAATTAGTCTGGCTAAAACCCAGAAGATATGTTAGATGTATGAAACCTTCAATTCTCGAATGTGAATTTCTGAAGGTCTAATATTGAAGACAGCAGTCTTCAACTAAACATTCGGGTTCCAGTCATTTTTCGCATATTGACTGAATCCCTTAAGTATCTGGTTCACCTTTGAAATACATTTGCCGCGATGATCAGCCATCATTAGTGTGATTGTGTTTTAAACACCATGGTGTATGATGGAACTCAAAAGTACTATCATTTGTAAAGTTGTCGATTTATTGGTAAATGCACTTGACTATCACTGCCACTTACTACATTACTTTGAAATTGTTTCATGGTCTATACAGTTCCAATTTCATAAGTTTACATACCCCATGGATATGTATATAAGGGATTGGAGCAGTGGTAAGGTATAAGGCCCTATAAATCTTACCAGTACGGCCGAGGATGGGTAGACTTCGGTCTTCCTCCGGAAATGTCTTCATGTGGCCACACGTTCATAGCCTCTTCCAGGTAAGTCCTATTGGCTGTCTTTATGCAGCAGGGGTGTTCCTTACAAAAATGAAACGGTGAAAGCGAATATCTGGCACTTACAACCCGACTGGCGGACAAGCTATTTTGCCTAGGAGGATCTGAGAAACCCTGATACCAAACCGATAGTGTACGTGGAATCCAGAATCATCCGAATGGCGTGTGAACCTTCTTCGGACATCGAAAACAATAGGAACACAGGTCCTGACGCTGCTCTACTGACTTGTGGATCAGAATTCAAGTCAAAGGCTCGGAGTGTAGCATTTTAAGAAAATCACCTGCTTTGGTGTCTGGGAGTCCGGGCAGTATCGCAGCTCTCATAGAAGATATGAGATTTTGTGTGGCGCATATCTTAGTGTCCATAATTTATGGATTTTATGTTTTGATAAATCGATAAAAATGACTCTAATGGAATAATTTCACTTATACGTTCAGCGGTTAAACAAACTGCAGAAAATGTGGCAGTAGGTTTGTTTCATAAAACACACTAGCGCGTCAGGAAGCCTAAATAAAGAAATCAAACAGATATGAGGAGCATTGATGTTGCGTAACTAAAATTCACTATTGAGTTCAAAATATATGAAAAGATACAGTTAAATTTTTAATCATGACATAAACATAAAATCCAAGGCATCCATTGTCGCCGAAGAAGAGAGGGATATCAAAAACCTTGCGTAGGATTCCTAGAACAGCAGGAATTAGAGTAGCAACCGAATCTGCAAATTCACTTAGGAAAACCTCTGTAGATTAAATGCCCGATTAGGCGAAATTGTCCTATCTACAAAACAGCTTGCAATAATCGCGACATTCGTAACATATGGAACACTAATCCTAGTGCAGGCAAATAATAAAATAAAATTTTAAAAGTAGATTGGACCCTGAACAACAGATTATGTTTTTGGAACGCCTTCCTTTCAGTACTGCCGTACTGTAAAATTTTCTGTCGCTTAGCAACGATGTCCAATTTCAACAACAACTTCTGTGACTGCAGCACTAGGTAACGCGGATTTAAATTTCTGAAAAAAAACCAGTCCTTCTAAGGTTGCAGTATACCTTGCTGACGATTGCCAGTATGTACGAAGCCTACTACATTCAGGACTTTTTGTCGATTGCTTACAAAAGTACGTCATCAGTTAAAAGTGGCGAGTCTTGTAGCTTGACATATTTGACTAAACAACAGTGATACTGGTTACTTTCCAGTCACCTGTCTATGTACTTTTTCCCACTAAATATGCACCACTAGGTGGTAAGTCATGGAAAACAACTTTCATTGTCCTATGTTTTGCCGTGGTTTTCGTAATTTTACTTGTTTTACTGAAACCATATAACCACTTATTTTTTTTCAATCACTTTATAGCATTTACCTTCAGTCTGCTTATTCCAATCCTTTTGGGCTACGTGTACTTGTATCTCCCAATAAGTTTATTGTGCTCACTCCTACGACATGAAAATGGAGTCCAGTTGGAGCCGACAGAATTAGAGAGGCTCCAGTCAGTGAGTCCCATTCTTGTGAAGGAATTCGGGACGAAGAATGCAGATATTAAATTGACGGATGAAAATCATAATGAATCAGAAACTGTTGTGGTAGTAAACGAAACAGTATCCATGGATTGAGATCAAACTCTTAAGCTTTGTAACAACACTTGTTTATCATTTTCAAGTCTTTCATTTCTTATCCACTGACAATGTGATTTTCTTCTACCCTTACTGAAAAATATTTGCATTGAGTAAACATACAAACTAATATCCTTTTAAATTTCTTGGTAACTTTAGAGATAAAGCTGTGATTTTCAATTCCAGATATGCTGAATCATATTTAGCGTTATTCTTATTTTCAATTTGCTTTGTTTGTACACTCTTACAAATTGTTATTTTCTGGTAAAAAGAACAAATATCTCGTTTAGAGTGTATCTTACTTTATGTTCACTGGTATCCATTATAATATAGAAAGCTAACGTACTGTTTGTACACTTTATCAAAGAAGAGTAGTTATTAAGTACAACAGTCAGTTAATTGAAGGCTCTTCTTCACCTCAAAGTGATGAGAAATTAAACTGCTTACAGTATTATGAATCATCTGCGAGATTCAATTAATGATAGTCACTTGTACCCAGCTATTACACTACAGTTTGACTAACTGGGTTTCAGCATAGAACTATGCACAGATGTGTACCAGTTCAAATCGCCACACTCCATGTAGCACACAAAGGTAGAGAAAATAGATACAAAACAACTATAATAAGCAGAAATGTGAGGGAGAAAGAATAGTAACTTGGAGAAAACACGGGTTTATCGGATATGGAATGTTACAAAACGTGAGTGCATCTGTACTACTGAGACCCCGGTTTTGAGCCGTATTACTAATAGTCTCCGGCCATTGGTTCTTAGAATACCAGCCCAACCACACAGCCCACACCTCCCTACGTGGCTGAAACCAACTGTCGAAGATTTTATGAACTGATTTTAATTCTTGGCTGTAGCTGTTTTCCAACTGATATCAGTTAACATCACCAGATGACGGAGGCATGCGTACGTTCTACCCATCTCAATTGATTCAGCTTAACAAGCCCATCGATCGAATTTCTCTCCTTACCTAACACCGTATGCCTGACTACGCGTCGTTTTGTCGATAGCCTGATACCATGTCTCCACCAGAGATGACGCATGTTAGCGAATGCCACATGAGTCTTTTGTATTCACACTGAAATTTCGTCCACTGGGGCTGATGCAACCTCCCAAACAAGTGAAGTGGCCAGTATGCTTAAACACTGCATTCCGCGTCTCTAATTGTGGTGTCGATGCCGTCTAGTTCTGCAGCACCATCTCATATTTGACGGGAGCGAATCGCATGTTAGACGTCCGAAGACTTCTGTTCAATGTGTTCAGAAGGCTGTGCATTTTATAAGGATCTCCACCTAGGAGAAAAGTATCACCCGCATACTCTAATTCTCCAAAGCTGTATCCTAGCAACAAGTCAATCTTTAAGCAGCTGAAGTCAGAGTCAACTCCACTAGTACATCTACGATGAAATTAAACGAAAATAAGAACAATGATCATCCCTGACGGATACCACCGGTTGTCAACACTTCAGAAGACAACTCTCCATAAGCTCTTACACGACTGCGTGAGTCCGAGTAGAATGTCTTGATTAGTGTGATAAACTCTCTGTGTCTACTTCACTGCCACACATTGTCACAGCACATCTCCGTCAACGGAGTGGAGTGTGGCCTTCAGGTGAAGAAATTTGTTGAGTCTTGGGCGCCAGAAAGGACCATTATGTTCTAGAATCTATCGAAGGGCGAATATAGCATAGCTGGCTTGCTGGTCATCTGAGGTGAATACCGCACTTCAGTTACATCCCCACTTACCAATAATATGACTTCGCCCACAGACCTCCAAATAGATTAAACAATTTACACTACGACAGCAGTTGCTTTTAGTTCAATCGATAACCAAACAACCTGGTATGGTAGCAACACATTAGTTCCAGCTAGCGTAGCTCGTATAGTCATTGAGATATGGAAATCCGTCCACCGCCTCAAGGCAAAAGCCATCGGTCGGGATATTGCAATTTACCGCCAGTGATTAGTTGTTCCATCAAATCAAAAGTTATAGAACTGTAGAAAGTCATATAAGTTATTTATTACTGACTATTCAGATTTGCAAATCACGTGGTTATGGTGTAAAGCCCACATCTAAAATAAAAGTTATTAGAGTCTCGTTAATTAGTTCCGTTAAAATATAGTTCGGTTCACTGAGGTCAGTATCACAAGTAATTCCATTCTGTTCACGAAATAACCATGAGGATTTCTCCAGATTAATGTTCTTGGCATCTGATTATAGATCGAGAAATAACTGATTCGGCTTTAACATACGTACAGCCACTCCTAGGCTTCCTGCTTGTTTTGGATTATTATTTTTCAGATGAACGATGTGAGCACACTTAAAAGTCCTTCGCAAATTGCACGGTTCTAGGTGGGGATTAGCTATGTTTTCATTAAGGAGGCCAGAATATTAAGATTACAGTACGTGACTTCCTTCATACCCTGAGTGGCAATCAAGCAAAATAACCGCAAAAACCTAGCTCAGAAAGCGAATCTGAACAGGGTACAAAGCTGATTTGCTTCGTCCAAGATGGTTTCCTGATGCTTATATAACTTCGATCTGGCAGGCAAACTCAGCTCGTTGACATAATTGGACCCTACCTACTCATATCAACCAGTAGTATGTACAGACTCGAAAGTGAAATCGTTGAAAGGACTATCTACATTCAAAATAGAAGTCTTAGCTCCTCGACTATTCTACCGAATGGTTCGAAAGTTTCCTAACATATGTCAGTACTCCTTTAAATTTCAATCTACCTGATCGATGCAGTAGCAATACATTAGTGTTATTCCATTTTGTTCTTATGCAAATGTTCTCAATGTTATATTATTAAAATAATCTGAGCCAAGCAAAACCAAAATTACTCACTTCGTCTACATCGCTTTCTATTGTAGTTACACTAACATCTAACAGCGCTTTCGAATACTGAATCACACGAAAATACGTAGGTCTGATCTACAATTAATTCTGATAACCGCAAATTGACCACAGTAGGGTTATGTGCTATCATGAACTAGAAAGAGTAAATTGAAGTAAGTGAACAACAGGTATTGTGACGCTATACTACAAGATAGTTTCTGAAAGAGCCTAACTAGGGAACATCTGGTATGAAATGCTATCAAATCCGTCTCCATAAAATGCTGTGTCAACGTAAACATATGTAGTTTTGCTCAACGTTCCACAATGACTACTGTGGAACAAGAACCAACCGACCTTCCCAAGCATTAGATATTATTCTCGAAATGATAAGTAGAAGCCAACAAACTACTTAAATTATGTTCCTATAGGCTAATGGTAAGTAAGTTAAAGCTCCACAGATTAGCTTCAAAACATCTGACTGAGCATATCGGTCGCCTAATAAGTGAAAAATAGCTCCCGTCACAAGGACGCCTGAGCCCCACGCATTTCGTCCAATAATTGTAACGAATTTTCTATAGTTCGGTTTGTAAGGGTTACTTATGTTTTTACGAGTTGATCACGGATTGATATCAGTTAGAGAACCATTGAAAACCAGGGAATACTGGAAAGCTGCTGTCTCATCCTAGTTTGGGAATCATCGGCAGTACGCACCCACTGGGATTCGGACCCAGAACCTTCCGGTTACAAGGCAAGCTCGTATACCATTCAGCCACTGGGACCCGATTCAATGGCTCATGAATTCTAACTTTGTAACGAAGGCTGTTACAAACTTAGCACAGCTGTTTGTTTCACTTTACGGGTGTAAGAAGGACTGCCTATAGGCGCATGTAAAAACACAGATCATAAGTGTCTTCGTTTAATTTCTCACATTCAGTAGACCAACAGAGAAACTAGCAATTATGTTAGTGAAAATGTTGAATAGCAAGCGTAAATCGACAAGCCAATTTTTATCGAGTAGGATGGTTTAGGCGTGTATAAAGCTATTTTAAGTCACCACTTTACTCCACGAGCAATTAGAAATGCCTAAGTCATTCAGTGGCAACGATACATGGAGTCATCAGCTGTCCACAAGTATGAAGGTATACGGTGACTGAACATCCTAAGATTGCCAATAATTAATGTGCAGAAACTCCCATTCTACATCGTTCACAGAATTAATGGAAAATTAGCTCCATATCATCGTGAGACCCGAAAAAGCCTCATTAAACTTTATTCACTTATTTTCATCACAAAATGTGACAGCTTGAACTTTATTCCTCAACAACAAACGCTAACTGGACAAAATTCAAGTTGCCACATTTTGTGATGAGAATATGTGAATGAAGTTCAGTGAAGCTTCTTCGGGTTTCACGATGATATGCAGTTAAATTTCCATTACTGTTGTCAATAGTTTGGACCAAAAGGTCTTACGCTGCATACGGTCAGTTGCGTTACGCTGAAGTACTTAATGGGACTAAATATTCGAAAACCTATAGTATATACTATAGGTTTTCGAATATATATATATACTATCTTTGGCAAGACCAAATATCTTATTACCACCGGAATTCCTAGAGAACTTCTGTCAAACATAACGAGAAATTTCAAAGTCTGCCAAGTACTCACCCAATGTGCAGATGTATATAAAACATATCGTCTAGAATCCTACTAATAGTTGTAAGAAATGAACAGAATGATTTTATAATTCAACACGCTATAATACGGTTCAAGAGCATTAAAACTTATAAATATCTAAAGAGAAATTTATTAACACTCGGGACATAAAGTTACATAGATGATAAGTAATGAAAGCAGATTAAAATTAGTTGATAAATATACAAATGCATTGGTGTGTCCTAAGCTTTTGAGGCTGACGCTTGTGCTTTGGCTTGTTGCTTAGCTCGCAGTGCTTCGGCATCTCTTCAATTTCATGGTTAAACTAAATAATCATCCTACCTCAATCGTCTTTCTTCCAGTGTTAGTCCTTTGTTTGCATCCTTCTCTCTACTACTTTTAGATTTCTCCAGGGAGCTTTGCTTTTTCATGTTTCTCTCCCTAGCCAAGTCCCGCTGGTTACCACCTGAACACAGGTACTACGTAACTCCCAGCACT